GTGGGTATGTACGTATGTATGTATGCATGTATGTATGTATGTATGTATGTATGTATGTATGTATGTATGTATATATGTATGTATGGACGGATGGCTGGATGGAGGTATGTTCGTACGTATGTATGTATGTATGCAGGTGATCAAACATATACACATATTGTTATACACACGTACTGACATACTTACGCATGATTCCCTAAGCAGGGTGGTAGCACTATGGGTTTCTCGATTTTGCACATGCATTTTCGTTGGGCATATCGTTTGTTTAACTTTGTTCAGGCAGGCGAGTAAGCAAGAAAGGCAGAACGCAGGCAAACAAGCAAGCTGTTCTTGCTAATCCTTGCAATTACCCAGGGATTCGGAGTCTTGGGGTGGACTTAGAGTGGTCTCGGATGTGGCCCTGGGGTGTTCTTCTAAGGGTCGTCTCTTTGGTCTTTCCCTGTTTGGTGTCTACGCTCGCATACTACTTCGCCGATGTATGTGTGTAGTCTTTTATTATGATCTTACACACTTAATATATTAACTTCTATACACAGAGTGTATATGCGTACATATATGCATATATATATATATATATACAAGCAAAGGTGATGTCTTCGACAAGTTTGACGACGACGGAAACGACAACATCGATCTGCGGGAGATCAAGAATGCTGCTGGGTAGAAGTAGGAGTATTCGATTTTTTGACCAGAAACCCCGTTTTGCCAGAACCCAGATTCCAGAATTAGTGTAAAAATCGTGTGAAGCCTGAAGCACAGTAGAAGCTACGTGCAGCACAATGTAGGGTTCTGCAGCTCCCCCAAATTCCAACATACATCTGGGACCCTTCTGCGTGGCCCTCGGTGCCAAGAAACCCGGCCCTCGCAGTTGGCAGCAACCGAATTCTGGAGTCATGTTGCGCAAAGTTTCTTGTCCAGCATCGTAGTGCTCCATCACGAGCGTACTCTCAGATTCTTGCATGAATGGATGCGAGCATCTGTTCATGCTTGCTCGAATTCACGTGAACATATTCTTACTTCAGGGCCCTGGACAGGACACGGAAGCTTTTACTATAAAATCGTGGGATATCCGGGTACCTTATTGGGCTGTAGGGCACACACACTCTCCGCGCAGGGGTGTGTGTGTGTGTATGTAGTATATATATATATACACACATACATACCGTATGTGTACAAATAAACCCACGTCAACCGAGAGACAGCCAGGCAGCGTGACTCACTCGTGTTTGTTTGAGACTGTGGTGAGTGTTGACGTAGCAACCTCGCTATAGAGTGTTAGGGTATTTATACTTTATACGTTGTACGGTGCATGTTGTGTGTGCTGTTGCGCGAGAGTTGTGTGTGTGTGAGTGTGATGGAGGGATGAGTGCTTGACTCCCAGTGTCATACGCGTCGTGTTCACCGGTATGTATGGTCTGTTCTACATCCTTCGGACACCGACCCGCGCAGGTCATCCGCGAGTTAGGCTTCACGATCCCGCAGAAGACTATCCACGAACTGATTGTGGAGGCGAAAGGGTTCAGAGCTTCCGAGTGTCGATGACACTTCGGGCTGCAGTGCAGGGTTCCGCAGCCACCTGAGTTTCAGCATTTTCCTTGCTTGTTTTCTGTCTGTTCTGTGCGAATCGACATAGCTGGCGTGTGGCCTACATGGGCGTTGATCTCCAAGGAGCATGTGGGTAGCATGGTGCTCAGGTATCCAGAAAAACTAGCTTCTAGATTTGCTGTGAGGGTTTGCAAGTGAATCGGGAGAGGTGGGGCAAGGAGGAAGTTGGAAATTCAGAGCAGTGGGGATACTTTGGGGCCGTGAACGATGCGAGCTCCGGCCTTGCATGTCAGGCCAGAAGGCGTGGAGACATCCTGAACAGCGACACGGACGGGCTGGACTACGACAGTTCCTCGTCTGTTTCAGTGCGCTCGACTGCGTGCTGTAAGCTGGAGAAGGGCCGGGCAGGTACATCCAACTTTCAAGGCACTCCGAGGTTCGCAGCGGGCAGCAGAAAAACTGGATTGCTCCGCGCACTGCAAACACACAGCGCAAAGTACAGATTTCCATCGTGGCTTCGGGGATAATATCTAGAGAACAAATATATACACACACACAAAAACAAATTCCAAGTAAAATATGAGAGTTAAACCATATCGGCCAGTTATACATTTATAAATAGAAACAGAGACAGAGAAGTGCCGCAAGCGGGGGCCGGTACCAAGGCTTCGTGCATTTCATGCAGCTCCTCAACGAGAATGATGGCTTCAACAAGCAGGCCGCAATGTGGTCTCCTCACCAGCTGCCCAAGCGAAAGAGCACAAAAATACGGTGACAGAATTCCAACAGCAATCACAACAAAAAGTCTGATGCTGGTAACAATAAGAAAACAGCAGTAAACTGTTCGGAGTCATGATCATGATCATAACGACACTCAGATGCAAGGAATGATATTTTTCTACACCCCAGAGTCGGTGAATCCTGAGTGTCAGCAGGAGATTGACCGAATTGTCAAGACCTTCAAGAAGTATGACAAGGCGCATGCCGGGTTCGGTTCTATTCATATGATATGATGCCATACCATATGATACTTGATTTCTTTGTCACGATCCTAAACCCTAAACCCTATATGATAGCACGTGATATGATGGCAAAAGTCGGTTCTGGTTTCTCGGCCCTGGCTTCGTCTGGATAAAGCTGAACCCTCAAGCCTGCAGTTTGAAGGTCAAGCGGGGTCGTGTATGGCGTCTTGGTTTCAGGCGCAGCCCCTTTTAGGATTTGATCCCATCCGGAGGCTCCTGAAACTCGACTTGTAAGCCTCAGAAGCCTGGGACGGCGAAGAGTTAAGTCATCGATGCGGCAAATTTCAAGCAGCAGAAAGACTCCCCAGCACTACTTGCACTGCAGTTCCTTCTTCAACTTGCATCTGTGTTCCTCTTATCGTCAAGAGTCTGGTGCCGGGAAGCCCGAGGATGCAAGTGGCGACATCAACACCCTCGAACTCTCGGACATGATGCGGGAGAGCTCCCGCAACTGTTTTGGGCTTTGGTGATGAGTTTTGGGCCAACTCCTGTGCCGGGTTTGGCGTGTTGGGCCTTTCATCTGCTTTCTTTGGCAGGGATCTTAGAGTAAAGTAGCAGCTTCCCAGGATCCACATGCGCCTTGCCGTAACTCCCAAAAAGGTTACAGCTCTAAACTAGCCTATAATGAGGCCCTATAACCCTTAGCAAAACCCTGTAACCCCCTTATAGAACCTGTGCCTTATAGAACCCTTGAAGCGCCTTGAAAGCTTCAAATACCTTGGAAGGAGATGGGCCAGGCCCCACGCATCGAGGAGGCGAGAAGAGACAGACAGCGTCAGCTCATTCAACTCATGTCTTAACATTAAGATATAATATTGCCTCTCCTCACTGTTGTTTTAGCGTTGTTTAGGCGTATTATTCCCCAAACAGGGTGGTTACACTATGGGATTCTTTGCGTCCGAAGTACAGAGAGTGTAGATTGGAAAAGGAACTTCCGGCTTCTCTACTTTTTGCATTAGAGTTTAGGGTTTAGGGTTTAGGTTAAATGCTGCAAAACTGCTTGCGGGAATGCACTTTCGCACTGGTCCTCGCCGGTACTTGGGGGGGAAAGCATTTTAGCAGTATCTTGGTGGTCTCCTAGTGGTCTCCTAGTAGTCTCGCTGGCACATGTATTCTGAGTACTATTTGCTATTGCCATTACTTGCCATTACTATTTCTGCGTTAATTTGCTGTTACCACTATGATCTATTCTATGATTCTGCATGTTTGCAACTCCTTTCGTTGCTTATCACCGTGGCGGAAAGGATTTGCCGGTGAACGAGTTGAGAATGTCGGTCTCAGGCTGATGTGTCGCGCTGTCACGGAGTGACGAAACTACTGTTGTCCATACACCTACACCCCTTCAGGCTCTTAACCCATAAACAGCGAATGCCGGACACTCCGAGCTCGAATGTAAAGCTCACAAGGCTGATAGGGTCTAGGCTTTCACTGTTTCGATCGAAGCTTGCTCTAGCGACAGAGGTAGGTCAATGGATCTGTTGATTCTATGTGTGGGAAACAGGTTCGCACTCTGCTGTCCGCCGTGGACATCAACGGTAACGGAGTCCTAGACGAGCGAGCTGCTTCGGTGGCAAGATCGGGTGAGTTCTGTCAGTTGAGAGCAGAAGAATGTCAGTTGAGAGCAAGAGCATTTCGGGCGCGGGTCTCCCGGATCTGGTAGATTTCAAGCGCTGCCAGAAGCGAAGATGAGGTTTCTCCATTGGGACTTGCATTTTCAGCATGCAGAAATCCCAAACGAAGCACCCAAGTGCCATGAAAGTTCGGAGCCTGAACCATCACCAACTAAGGAGTTTATTCGATTCTCCCGGCTCTTCCGGGAAAAGCAGCTGGCGCGAGCCAAGACGCTGGTCTGGTGTAGGGTCTGTACACCGGGGCTTGGATTGGTTTCTCATCAAGGTTTGATTTGAGCTGTGGACTTTCATTGTGTGACGAAGTTGTGTACGGGCCTTAATCCCAAGCCGGTCCACCCGAGCCCCTCAACTTTGACTCCAGAAGCAATAGGCTGCCATCATCACCAGCAGCAGCATCGCCAGCAGAGTGTTGTGCAGGCGATGTGCCCAGCTGTAGGAGGCCTTACCGGCATGTCCAAAATCTCTGCTCCAAAGTCTTCAGCTTAATCTTCGCCTTCTGAATCCCGCAAAAAAGCCCACTGCCGTCCCCAAACTCCAAGCCGACAAGCTCTAAGGATGGTCTTTATGAATCACGCAGACCGGCAGCTTTGTCCCGAGATGATTCCTGCAAGCCAGGCCTGTTGGCTTCCAGTTCCGACTTCGGAGGGTTCTCAAGGCCTTGCTAGGCCCTGGGCCCTGGGCTTCGAGCTGAAGCAGCCTGAAGCCAGCATCATCATATATAGTATATATGATTATATTATATTATACTATATTATATGGTATTTTTGCTCAGGATACCTTCTTCACGTCATCATCTTCATCAGAAGCTTGTGTGCAAAGGTGGATTTGGCCATCCACGTACTGCTGGCAGACGAAGCCATCGAGGCGAGTGCGGTTCTGTGAACTGGCTTCCGATGCTGGCTCTCTCGCCCACTTGCGCGCACCCTCGCATGCAGGTACTCCTACAAATCTGCCATGTATGCATGTGCGGCTGAATGCATAGATGCATGTTTGTCTGTGAACCGGCAGCTAAACAGGCGAGCAAGACCAATGGGTATGAAACAGCCACGAAATTTCAAAGTGAATCCGCCAATGAAACGTTCCATCCTGACCACTATACCTCAAAGTTGAACAGCTTGCATTTCTTGCTCGCAAGGTGGCACCCCTGCCACCAGAGGAAGGGCTGTCGAAGGATCAGCCGATCGAGTTCGACGAGTTTGTGTTTTGGCATCAATTCAGGTGGATGATGTACTTCTCGATCCTGTAAACTCTAATCTAATCAAGCCCTCAGCCCCATAGCCGAATGAGCCATCGGATCCCGGGCGTCCAACCCAGCGAAGCCGAGAGCCGCACGGGTGGTCGCATGGTTCCGCTGGCATCTGAGGTTGAGCTTGCGGAAGCATGGCTGATTTGGGGGGGCCCTGGGAGCTCGACTCTACCCTCGTGACTCTCTCGCTGCGGATTTCGGAGTGCCTTTTCAGATTCTTCCGCAGCTCTATCTAAGCGCTACTTTTCCTGTTTGCTGTCGGAGGTCCATTTGCGGCAGCAATTGTCATTGCTTCCTCAGGGGTCAGGGCTTGATCAGGGCAGGGCTGCTGACTTCCCAGGATCGAATGCGCGAGAGACTCATCTGGACTTCGAAGAAGTTCGCCGGATTTGGGGAAGCAGAGGCGGCCGTTCAGCCCTTCCTCTCCAGAAGTGTCAAAATGTGCTCAAAGCCCGTGCGTTAGAAGCGTGATTCCTTAGGGTACCTGCTTCTACTGTCGCTACAGTGTAGGAGGAGGGTCTTGGGTTCCGAAATCAAAAGCGATGGAGGTAAGCAGCGACAAGACTGACGTCTACGGTTTAAATGGGTTTCCCTCTTCGGAGTCGGAGGTGAATGAAATCCGACAAATCTTCGACAGCTTCGACACAAAGCGAGCTGGCAGCCTGAAGCCCAACGAGGCCTCCGGACCAGAGCCTGGTTGATGGTCACATTTACACAGAGCAGGGTAATCGTGTTCATGAGATTCAGGAGCTTTAGGGATAGTCAGCCTAGTAAACCAACAAGCAAGCCAAAAAACTGGGGCTTTCGGGTCTTCCGGTGGGACCCCTCTGAAGTGTTGCCTAGATTCCCGAAATCTCAAGCCCAAGCTTAACCCTGATGATGAACTTGGTTGACTGCCTAAAGCCTAAACCCCAAACGCTAGTCGAGTTTCTTCCGGAGATCCTAAGGCATCGGAGCTACTGAAGTCGCTGGGAATCGAAGTTCGAAGTGTGGAGGACGCGAGCCGGGCGGTGTCTGGATCTCGCAACACGGTTTGGGGTATCCCCATATAGCCCCCCGATCATGCCGTCATAATCCCACTATAGCTCCTTTCTACTAGTACCACCACATACCCACAAGCCCTATTCTAACGACTAATTGAGACTATGAGATCCATTCTCACGAGAAATCATGATACGGGCGTGCTGAGCGAGAGCTCGAAGATTCTGTGAGTAGCAAGGACACCAGCTGTACGTTGCACTTTCAGGATCCGTACTTGGAGGATCATGGGACTTAGTAAGTAAGGTTATAAGTCCCTTATTTGGGGTTATAAGTATAGTACTAAGTCCCATGATCCTTTTAAGTACAGTTTCCGTGCCCATTGAATGCGAGCTCAGCTGCATTGAGGAGCGCATCGCACTCTCAGAACAGCAGCTCTGACGGCAGGGAGGCTGACTTCTGTGCCAAGAGAGGAGTGGAATGTGTCCGATGTTGCTCTGCTAGGCGTTGGCGATCATTCTCTGCACAACTTTCGGCAGAAAAGCTTAGGATTCCACCGATATTCTAAGCATGTTTTTGGTTCTTGCCGGTCATTGAGCCAGTCGGTGAAAGTAGCTATGTCTATGTCTACGACTTGCATGTAAGTCTGCACCTTCGCAGGTACATCTAGATAGCAGCCACTCCAGTAGCCGGCTCTTATTATCTGACTAGTCAGTTAGCTTGCGAGTGCATGGGAGAGTTGCGAATGAGTTCCTTTGCTACTGATGTGCTTGTTCGTTGTCTGCATCCCGTCGCGAGTGCGTCAGCAGTCAGCGCAGCAACTGCTTCAAGTGTTCTTGTGGAGTGTCTCACCGTCTATTCTCCTCAAGTCAGCCTACACCCAATGGCCCTACGACCCGTAAAACCCTCGATGCCCATAGCCAGTTAAACTCTTTCCCTGATGTTGGAATTCGCCCAGGATCGCCACGGCATGCCAGGAAGCGAAGGAGGCAGGTGCCGAGGCGCGGAACATGCATGTTTTTGGCTGAGACTAAAGGCCCGGATCAGGTTAGACGTTTAAGTACCAGGGTTACAACTCTTAGGCTCTTGGGGTTGATCCATTCGCGCGGCGGTTCTCCGATTGGGCTTGGTGGCCAGGGTGTGGAGTCAAAAGATGCGAGTTCCAGGTTTTTGGGAGCTCGGGAGCCTCTTCAGAAAATGAGGGTTTAGGGTTTGGGGGTGGTGAAGGTCGGAAACTCTTGCTGAAGTTGCTAGACGAAGAAGTCGAAAGGCTTCACCGACACCACTACTGCTGGAAGTAGTCGCCGTCGTCACGGTGGTGGCGGTCCTCGTCGTAGTGGCAGCAGTGATCGTAGCTGTGGTCACCTGTATGGCCAGCTACATGCAACACCAAGGGATGCAAAGACCTCGCTACAGCCTACAGCAGGGCTCTGAGCATTTCGAACGACAATGAGCCTGAGAGCCCCAACACAGGAGCCTCAAGGCTTTTAAGCCAGAGACTTCTCCAGGCCGTGGTGGACGGCCAAGTCAACTTCTGGGTCTTCTTGCAGCTCTTCCGGGCGATGAAGCGGAAGCAGGTGAGGGGAGAGCCGTCGCGTGATGTAATCCCTGGAGCATCGAAGCCAAAGCCCCGCTTTCCCAAAGATCCCCCAAGCTTACAAATCCCACATTTTCTGCAGCTTCAGCCCGGATCCTGATCCTTGTTCTTTGGACTGGAATCTACGAAGTCCCAGCTTCAGGCAGTGCTTTGCATCATAAGCCCTGCTTCTTTAAGATCAGGGTCTCTGCATCTCATCGTCTCCCTGTGGTGAGCACTTAAAGGATCATGGGACTTAGTAAGTAGGGTTATAATTAGGGTAACTATACCTATGACCCCAATTAAGGGACTTATAACCTTACTTACTAAGTCCCATGATCCTTTAAGCAGGACGAGGAGAAGGAGCGGCGGCTGATGTCAGTCTGCGAGGAGGTGAAATTCAACTCGCAGGAGCGGCGGCTTTTGGGGTGCAACATTGAGGCCCACATCGTACCCATTTGCAGCTGGCGATTTGGAGTTCGAGACCTCTCAAGTAGGAGCTTTGAGGCTCAACAAACAGGTCATGGAGGGCAGCTTCCACCGCGTGGGCCCTTCTGGCTCCGGTCGGTCGAGTGGGCGTAGGGTCATGGTTCAACGCTACACCAATTCCCTTCAAAAGACCCGAACCGTGCGTGCTTTCCTTCAGAGCGGAACCACCTGGAGCACCGGACCCAATCCCACAAAGCCCTAAGACCTGCCAGGAAGTCAACCAGTTCCAGGAAGTGCCTCTCCGGAATGAGTCCTAAGTGCTATATTACCCTAAACCCTAAACCCTGCTATATGATGTGTCCTCTCCGTGTTCCCATACTGTGCATCTCTTGCTCATTATCTCTCAGAGTTTGTTTTGAAGTTCAGACCCCACTCTGGTTGAGAAGGTGAGCTCTTGTTCTTGCCTGCTCCGTGCTGATAAACAGGACGGCGAGGGATTTGTCATCAGAAGAGATGGTCCTAGTTGGTCGGGGGGTTTACAGAAAATGTGTTCACATCCTCTTGATTCAAGTCCTTAGCTTGCTACCAGTCCGTTCTCCTCGAACCCACCGCACCGTCGGCTCGGTTACATACCTGCAGAAGAGCCAGCCATGAAGTCGCATCCCGAACAGCGATACGATCTTTCTAGCAGCAGCAGCCGCCTTCAGGCATGAGTCACAAGTACCTGAGTTCGCAGCCCCCCAATGAACTAATCTGATCCTGTTGCATCTTCCTGTTGGCGAAAGGATTACATAGTTGCTGAAAGCCTTTGCGGCCTTTGCAGTAACACAGCTAGTACAAGCATGCCATCATAGAGGTGCTGGCCGCGAGTAGCCTGAGCTTGTCCAAGAGATAGAGTCACATGCTTGATGGTGCTGGCTACAGAATTCTGTCGTTCGGACGTTGCCACCGGATTTCCCCAGTAGTCTATCTGCGATATGATTGAACTGTGTGAAAGCTTTGATGATTATGCTGGTAACGATGAAGATGACGATGATGACCTGCTGCTGCCGCTGGCGGTAGCGGTGGCGGCGGTGGTGGTGGGTATACTGATGTTGCTTTTGATATGGCTGTGATGATGGGGAACAAGATCCCAATCATGAAGATGATTTGCACGAGGTTGAAGATTTAGATGAGAACGAAGATGACGGAGGAGTGATGACAATAGCTATGAGTCCTGCCGCACTGCCATTTAATTCATGGGTTGGTGCCCTGAAAGCAACAGGAACGTTCAAACAGCTCGTATTGGTAACGACAAAGATGCCAAGAATCGGTGAGTTGCCGGACTTCCTGCTCCTAGATCCTTACATCTGCAGGTCTTCGAGCAGTGTTGGTCCTCCCTCTACACGGACGGAGTGACTTCAGACACGAAGCAGTTACCAAGGAGAGCTTGGGTAGCTGTGGTGTTGTAAGCTGGAGGAACTTGGAATGCTTCGCTGCTTTGCTGAGAAGCTGTGATGCGCTCTCTCATGTAGGTGATTCAGAGCATAGAGACCCTAAGTAACACAAGTAGCAGGAGCCTTGCTCTCAGGACGCTACCGACGGAAGCCGTGCGCAGATCCGCGCTTTCAAGGAAGAAGGTCCAAGACCCCGCATCCTAAAACTCGTCAGGACAGCCGTGTACAAGCTCTTCAGCAGCGTGGCTGCCGTCGAGCATGCTTTTCGCCGTCGGTCTGCTTGTTTGGGTCTTGCCTTGCGGACTGGTTCCGAGGGAGGAGTGCTCAGCTGAAAGGCTTCTTGGGGCAGGTAAGAGACATGGCTCTTGGGAAGAATCAATAAACCCCTAAACCCTAAACCCTAAACCCCTCCCTCAACCCTAAACCCTAAACCCCAAACCCTAAACCCTAAACCCTGAAATCCTGGTTGAGACGCTCAGGAAACATGGGGATGCGCCTCGAAGGACTGGCGATGGGTAAAACGTCGAAGGTTTTGAACCGAGGATCAAGATGCCAAGTGGGTGGGCGAGATGCTCATGCTCCGAGGGTTTTGGGTTTCGGGTTTAGGGTTTAGGGCTCCGAAAGTTACCTCCAGACCATGACCCAAGAACAGCACCTTGCGCGAGGACGAAACCGACAAGCCTTGGACGATCAGCTCAATGCCATGCAAGCACAGAAGGGGCAGCTTGCCAGACAGGGGGGCCTTTTGCGCTGATGCGGTATGACTTGCAGAGAAGCTGCGCCATGGAAGAGTTGCTCTGTGAGCCCAGAACCGAAGCCCCTGCCCCACCATGGCAAGGCTGGACTTTCCGAACTTTCTACTGCTCATGCGGTGGATGCTGGACGTCGACTTCTGCAGTATCTCATCATCGAAGCAGCCGGGAACGTGAGCGCAGGGGGGGGGGGGGTTCGCGGGCACTACGCACTACGGTCCAACAACGGCACTGTTTTTCCGTTGAAGATGAGAGGTTCACGTACCTGTGCCCACCTTAGACGTTCATGCTGATGTGTTTGCACAGTAGTACAGTAGTACGGTATGCAAAGCACCGCGATCCTGCTAGCCACAGCGAAGCGCCTCATGAAGTTGCCTTGCGGCCGTCGCAGGCCACTGTAAATACACGTGTTTGCTGCATCTCTCAAGCGCAGACACGCAGGAGACTCATCGTCTGGGTTCAGTCTGGGTAAACGCATCTACTACGCAACTCTTGTGACCCCAAACCGTTTGTTTGGTCTGACCCCAACAAGCAGGCAAAGCCAACCAACAGGTGGATACAAGCAAGCTGTCAGCCCTTAATACACCATGCAGGACGAATGATACCGTAATGTGACACACAGCAGCATCAGCATGTGTGTGTGTGTGTTTCTGCCTCTGGCAAGTGGATATTTATGCAGCCTCTGATGGTGCTGAGCGCGGCACGATTACTAGCAGCATGTTGTCCTTTCATCTAGCAAACTATTTGAGGTTTACACCACAATGAAGTGTTGATCCATGCGCCTGACGAACGCAGTGGCTCTCTTGACGTACTGATAGCAGATCATGCCCAAGCCTGATCCAGCTTGGAGCATAGTTTCGGGTTTTAGCGACTCGACCCTGGTGATTCCAGTATCTGCTCAGTATGCTGCAGGCCACCAGCCCTCTCCGACTAGCGGGGAGTGGACTTGGTTTTTCCCAGCTCTCCATGCGAGGTGGATTGTAAGGTTTAGGTGCTGTAGAGTAGCCGGCTTTGCAACTGAAGCCCTACTATGCTTTGTCAACTGAAACCAAGCTTCATGGAAGAGGAGCTATGTAAGCAGGGCCTATTCTGTGTGATTGGTCAACCTCGGGTAGAGGCATCGGCCAACAGTGACCCGCAGGACTCCTTTTAATTCTATGTAGAATGAAGACGTTATGCAATTCCTACACAGGCATGCATCTTCGAAACCAGGTCAGGCATAGGACCGGGTCAGTGCAGCTAAGCTGAGTCGTCCGAAAGACAGTACCCCAAATTTGGAGCAGCTGGGATTCGCCCGAGCAGCCGTGCCCTCCGACAAAGAGATGGAGGTGCCCGTTGGTGTTGATTTTGAGGAGACAAAGCTGACCGGAGAGCTCGTGGGGGGCTCTCCGAAGCTAGGTCTGCTACGTCAATCACAAAACAATACTCATCAGCAGCAACAAGCAACATGCCAAGAGCAACAGAAACAGAAACTCCTGCAGAAGAACGAAGCCTGCCACAGGCCAAGTCGTAAGCTTGCTTGCAGCCGGTTGCTTGCGAGCTTGTTTGTTGTCGCACCCCAACTCCAAGCAACGGCCAAGCCGTAGCACGGTCCTGGGCCAGGTGACCATATCACCAAAAAGGTACCGCAACATGCAAGCATATGCAGGTGGAAGCCATGATTCGGTCAGTACTGACGTCTTGGAAACCATGCTGCTGTGAAGTTGTCATCGCTTCCCCACGAAGCCAGTAGGATCCATGATGTGCTGCTAGCAGCTAGCATTTGGGGGCAACTAGCATAGCCATGAAACACTCCTCAACTCAAAAGATACAGGACCTAGTCAGTGCAGCTCTGCGGGTCTTGTGTTTTCGCTGTCTGTTCTTAGAATGCCATGGCCTGGACAGCGCGGTGCGCAGAAGCGGGCGCCATGAACCTACAATCCAATAGGTCCTGCGAACTTAACCTAAAGTCGAGCCAGTGACAAGAGCTGATCATCGCGCCAGCGATTGCGAAAGTGAAACGCCAGATGAAGATTGACCGTCGCAGAAAACAACGGCAATGATGACTAGCATCATCGTCGCCATAAACATGAATGCTGTTGTTTTGGCAGCTAGTCTTCAGTTGAGCTTTAGGCTTCATCCAGCGACTGTGGTCACTATTAACCATTGGAATCACTGTAGCTATTCCTGCATGAGACTATGCCTGTTACATTTGTTGGTGGTCTTGGCTCTCGCCATCTACCGTATTAGTATATGCTGTTAGTATTAGTGTTTCGTGATTGTCGTCATCGGCGTGTCTCCCAAGGCCAGGAATCGAGAAGCTGAGCGCAAGGGACAGCGGCCGAAGAGGAGGTCAGAGACGAATTGCTTCGGTTTTGAATTCTGTATAAGGGTAATTCTCTACATTAGGGTCCCTTTTTAGGTCCCCAAGAAAGTACGGCACCCTTATAAAAAGGACCCTGAAAGGAACCCTAATTTTGAGAACTACCCATAAGGGTCTGGGGTCTAGGCTTTGGGAGGGGGGGTTTCACATGTGGATCTGGAGTTTAGGGATTGGCTTCTTTGTTCTGCTTCCGGATGCTTTGGCTCTCGCACTTGGCATGTCGTTCTTTCGGAAGCTTCCATCACTGGGAAGGCGGCTCTCCGAGGACCAAGACGGTTCCAAATGATATAACACAACATCCCCGCCCTTGAACACGCAACAACCCGCCATTCACTCCAAAATCCTAAGCTCAAAACCCTTGCATCCCGAATTGCCACATCCCAAAACTCCAACCCCACTTGGAGGATCATGGGACTTAGTAAGTAAGGTTATAAGTCCCTTAATTGGGGTTATAAGTATAGTTACCCTAATTATAACCCTACTTACTAAGTCCCATGATCCTTTAAGTACAAAACCCAACCGGCCCAAAGCTCCCAAGCCCAAAAAAACCTTTGAATCCTTAGACCCCGCTTTGAGGATTAGGGTCCCCTTTAAGGGTGGTAGAGGGTTCTGAAATAGGGTCCTCCCCGAGAGCGTGCAAAGAGCCAGGGAAGAGCCCGCCTTCGTGGCAGCCTGGGAGGACCGATTTCGCAGGGATCCCATAGGGGTTTGGGGTTTAGGGTTTAGGGTTTTAGGGGTTTTGGGGTTTAGGGTTTAGGGTTTAGGGTTTAGGGTTGAGGGAGGGGTTTAGGGTCCGGGGTGTTGGGTTCAGGTTTGAGGGATCAAGATATGTATCAGTAGTATTCCCTGATTTTGCTCCTCACGGAGGCTCGCAGTGACCTTCGCCAGGCCTCTTCGAGGTTCACTTCAAGCCAACATGCTTCGAACCGCACTGCTTGCACGGTGTGATCGTGTTTAGAGCAAGTGTGCGCGAAACCGACCTCCTTAACAAGAGCCCGGAGTAAGAAGTCACAAGCACCGACGATAAGCGAGCAGTGGCATCTTCCTCGCTATCCCCACCATACGTGTCAACATGAGTTTCAGCTTCATTGACCTCTCCATTGTTGACGATCGCCATGACGATCAGGATGGGATGCTGCTGATGATGATGCTGATGCTGATGCTGATGATGATGACGATGGTGATCGGGATGCTATTGGTGATGAGCTTCTGGTAGCTAGGAAGGAGCCAGCTTCCCTGAAGTTGCTCCCTTCATGAAGGATGTTTGCCACTTGATTGGAGCTATTGTCCAGGGATGCGCAAGCGCTGAAACCCGACCTGGCATGTTTGAAAGACTCATCCTTCCCAAGACCTCTTTTTTCATGACAAGGCAGGTATACGAGGAGCTGAAAATCCCGCATCCCCAGCCTCCTCCAATTTCGAAGACAACCGAAACCCTGAACACCAGCCCGAGGTCATGTTCTTTCTATTCGCGCTGCTCCTGGTCACGGTGGGCCTCGGCATGCCATGATAGGAGAGCCATCACGACCCCGACCACCAGATGCGCCATCACAAGCACCGTGCAAAACAGTCGAGGTGTAGGTTTTCGGATTGGGGTTTAGTGTTGTCGCCAGCGCTATCATCCATCATCGTCATCGTCATCACAGTCAGATCCTGACCATGGCGACCGCCATCACCGCGGATCATAGCTCAATCGAACTTGAGATTTCAACTCAACTAAACCCAGATCTCATTAACCCTAAACCCTAACTAAACCCTAGGCCTTCACGAGCCCAAAAGAGCTTTTCGGGATGAAGGGCCTTTGATGACGAACTTTCGACCCTCTCGAGCCCAGTGTTGAGAGAGAGACCGTAGATATAGATATGACTATGGGTACGAATACCATGTTACTACAGCGATCATAAAACCCCGTGAGCTTAAACCCCGTTAAACCCTGAAGAACACTGCATAAAGAAAAAGGCCATCAAAACAAAAGGAAACCTCCACGTCACCTCCCGAAGCCCTGAATTCACAGGTCACCTCCTTTATCAGCCTGCACATTGTCCTAGCTGGGGTCGAGAAGGCTTCCGCCCCTACACCGAGGCAGGGGCGCTTGCTCTGGGTGTCGTCAACCGTAGCTCTGCCTTCACCGTAGCTGCCTCCTTGTTGTTAGCTAAGACTATAGACGTATGTTAGTAGTTAGATGATCTTCTCCGTTAGCTGAAGTTGCCTCTGGGGATGCGTGCCTGACCCATGACCTCATTCCGATCCAAAGTCTACCATGTGCTGTGTTCGAGACCCAAGATCCCTTTGACGCTTCTGCTGTGCCTCAGGCGACTGAAGAGCTTTGCCAGCCAGCTTCTGGCACGGGTCGACCTCTCAATTTGGCCCTCCATCAGGATGAACCGGTTTCTTTCACCTCTCGTCCATGTTTTGTTCGAGGCGACTGGGATGTCAATCTCCTCCACTACGGCTGCTGGTGGTCTGACAAGCGGGGTCGCCACAGGCCTCCCCCAAGCCTCATCCATCGCGCCGGGCAAGGAGATGGAGGCGGGTCAGTAGTTTGTATGAGCACGCAGAGCCCAAATTGGTGTGCAGGTTCGGACCCTATCGAACACTGGAAGCTACCATGTCGGACTTCCGCCGGCGGTTCCGAGGAGGTCAGCTTCTTCACCACAGAGCAGAGGCCAAGAAGAGGCACATTTGAACCATGCACCGCTCACAAACTTCATCTGCGAGAGAGCGTGCTCACGGTCTGTTTCAGGCGCGAGACACTGGGAAGAGCCATGCTGGCCTTCCCAAGGCGATCGTCAAGAGAGCTTCTCCTGCCCCACCAGGATCCGAGGCAAGCAAAGGGCACAATGGGGCAGCAAATGCTCGGTCCGCAGGCTTCAAGCTCTGACACCTGTTCCAGCAGGCAGCTCGGACGTCTCCATCCCCGCACGTTGGCCTTCCAAAAGCTGTGCCGAAAAGCCCACAGAGTCCAGTGGCGCAACAAGAGAGAGGCCGCCAGCAGCCGCAGGCCTGGTCTTGTGTTGTGTTGCCAAGGGGCGTGTTGAAGCAGCCATATAGGCATAAGCCATCCAGAAACAGCTTGACTGAAGATCGGTGTGCACATTCCTGTTGCAGGCTGCCGCGCCCACTGGGCAGAAGCATGCTGGCCTCCCACAGGCTTTTTTTACTGTCGTAGGTATTGGGGTTTAGCAAGCCGAAGTGAAGAGGGGCGAACCACTGCCTTCGACATGTGCCCCTCTCTTACTCCGCAAGACGCACAAGCCACAAGCCTTCACAAGTGTGTCTATGTATGTCTATATGACCTTTTCTATGGAGGCTGTGCCGAAAAGCGGCATTCCGGGGAGGCCGATGCAGGCGCGGACGAACTCCAAGTTTTGAGACCGACGGTCATGATACTCATGATGATTGTAGGGATGAGGAGGAAGATGAGGATGATGATGATGATGGGAAGGAGAGCCTAGCGGGACTTCCCCTTTGGTCGTGGGACGAGTGTCCTCAGACCGGAGTCCGGAGGTGCTCCGAAGGATTACGTACTTTGCTCTTGACGTCTGTGGACTCCGCAATTGAGCACCATGAGGTAGTCCGGAGCGTCCAAGAACGCGCTGGGCTTCCGCAGGCGGTGCCGCAGCTGGGCTTCCAATCTTCTTGGACGTTTCCATGTTTGGAGACGATCGACGATAATATACAATATGTATTTGATGTGATCTATTACGGCAGATCGCAGTTTCTGCAACGGCGTCTTTTGTACCGGGAAGTTTCGGGACAGCGGGTTGGGCCGTGGAGTTTAGACCGGTCGCGACTCCGAGGCAGCCCCAGGAGAACCGTGGGCTTCGAGGAAAGCCGCCAACGACTGCGCAGGCACAGGAACAAGCAGAGAGGTTTGCAGGCTTTGTTTTACCACCAAAACCAAGGAGATGGCATCCCCAATTTCATGTCGCTTCGAAGTCGCCTCCCCCTTGATACTTGACGCTCGTGCGAGTTGCCCATCTGACAAACCATGGGCTGCTTAACTTGCGGGGAAGCCGGCAATGTCTGACCTCTGAAAGAATCTGACCGCTCAGAATACGCGCCCTCATGTCCATGCATGGCAATCTGGATGTCGAAAACATTGCATACATGTAGCAATGTATGAGGACTCCCAATAAAACGCTCCAACATGATGTGTTGAAACAAAAACGTGTAGTCACCTTGCTGGTCTTCGTCATTCAACACCAGCTTTAGTTCGCCCTAAAGGTATCTTTCTTCTGCATCCTCCTCACAACTACTTATTGTTCCGGTAAAGACTCCTTCTGGCCATGGTTCTCCTTGTTGCCCTGTCGTGTCTAGAAGTAAAGATTGCATGCAGTGAGATGTGAGAAACATCACGGCTCTTCACCCACTACAGTCACTACAGGTATGTTGAGGCAAAGGGCATGATGACAAAACTTACGTTTTCCCATTTGGCCCTAAGCCCGGGCCTTCCTCTCTAGCAAAGGAAATAGACAATGTCAGAATGCTAGCGTGCGATTTTGGCGCCACCGGCCATTCCCTGCTCCCTCGCGGCTTAGTTGCACAGTTTTGGCGTTCTGTTTGTCGTGGTCCTTCTAGAGAAACCTGATGTTTTTGGGCACAGTCTTCGCATGATTTTGCGACAGGGGGTTGCGAGTTGTTACGACTAGCTGCCCTGCCTGCTTGCAACCCTCAGCGCCAGCAGCCATGCGAAGCCCCAAACTTCTGAGATGTGCGATCCGATATCCTGCGAGCCCTCCTTATAATAAGTATGGCACACTTTTCTGAGCCAGGAACAGCGGCCGCGGGCCCCGCCTCCGCCCCATCATCCGGGAACCCAGGCAGGGCCGGTTCTTGGTCCGGGTTTAGGTGCAGCAGCCTGCAGCCGTGGTAAACTCGCGGCCATTCCACTTCGTCCAGCGGGGCAGCTGTTTGGAGATGGCTTGCAATCAGCGAGGCTTCCTCAGCGCCAGCCCCGCCACCGCCTCCACCCCAATGTGGAGAGGCAAGTTGTGCACGAGTCAGGTGATGAAAGGTGCAGCCCATTGCAGCCCTCTTTTTCATTCTAAGTTCCAATCGCAGCCTTTTTCAACCCACAGCCAGGACCCTTTCAGAGAGCCACCTGTCAGGCGGAAGCGCGGCAGGCGGCTCGAAAGGCTTGTTGCGGTGTTGCTCTGAATTATCTACGGGCCTAAATAATTACCGATATTATTTTGGGGGGCTCCTTATTACAATAGTAGAACACACATCAAAACCCTATTCTAATTATTTTGGCCCCTACAATAACTTAGACGGATTAGCTTGCATGGACGTTCTCGTTTGAGTTCTTCTCGAGAGTCAGGTTCCAACAAGGCATCTCCTTCTAAGGCCTTCAAGCCTGAATTCCGTGTAGACCGCTGCTAGCCTCGGTTAGACTCGGTCAGACTGCAAAAAAACAAGGCGTTCAATCCTTTTTTGCAGCAAGAAAGAAAGAGCCAGGCACGACGGGCAAAAAAGTAAGCGCGGGAAGCAAACGCCCCCACAAGCAATCAGAGCAAGGTGGAGACCCTGCCCAATCCAGGAACGTCAATTCAGCCAGGGCCAATAAGGAGGTTTTCCCAAGTAGACTCACACAGGGATGTGCAAGCGTCCCTTTCAGATCCAAAACTGCAATATTTCATGGGCCGAGTATCTCTGGCCAGTGTGGGTCAGGGACGGGGATCTACCTCCCTCACGCACACAATCTTCGGTGTGAAGGTTGGCAAACTTCATCATGAGGGTTCTAGGTTTGGAGCTGGGTCCGACAAGTCCCTCACTACATCCTGGAGTCCCTGGAGCTGCAAGATGCAAAAAGTTTATCACTGCACCCGTGTCGAAAGGTGCGAGCCAAGCTGGAGGGCCATTCCCAAGCACAGGCCGCCCTCACTTTTCACGTTTTGAGGGGGCCGGAGATGATCCGAGGAGGGAAGAGTAACCCAGAGTGCCCATGAGATGCAGATGTTCCACATTGTGTAGATCTTGCGCATCTCAGGGGCACTGACGCACCTGTCCGGTGCTCAAGCAATGCGGGGCTCAACAAACATGGCCTTGCTGCTCAGCATCGTCGCAGAGACGGCATCAGCGTAATCAAGACAAGTGTCTGGAGCGACGAAACCCACAACGACCCACTTAAACTCAAATGACCACTTGACTTCAGCCGCGTTGTTCTACTCCCGGAACCCCCCCTGCGCCCGTTTCTCAAGGCACTTCTCTTCGCTACATGCCAGGCCTTGGATCTTGCGATTGGTCAAGCCGAGCAAGCCTTTCGGAGGCGCGATCCCATGAGGAGGGTTGTTTGGGTTCGGACGGACTTACTTGGAGGATCATGGGACTTAGTAAGTAAGGTTATAAGTCCCTTAATTGGGGATATAAGTATAGTTACCCTAATTATGACCCTACTTACTAAGTCCCATGATCCTTTAAGTAGGAATGGAGTCTGGGGGTATGCAAACTTGGGAGCCTCGGGGCTTGACCTACACGAAAGCTGCTCGTCGCTCCGAGATGTCTCGACAGCCTTGAGCCCAAATATCCAGGCTGCTGAACGGCAAGATTCAGGCGGGCATGGTGAGCGTGCAGAGCCGTCACCTTTTTTCGTGAGCTTCCACTAAAGACTAAGCTTGAGAAAAGCGGCTTCCTTTCATGGCTGTGATGTTAGTTCTGCCTTTTCCTCCAGCTGAAGAAGAGCAGCCGAAGGTGCAGTTCATGCGGAGCAGGATCTGCTCCCGCCTTGAGGCCAGAGAGTTATTGCTTAAGTTCTGTCGTCTCTTGCTACAGTGTACTACGAGGACGAGTACTAGAGTTACTATGAGTTACTAGAGTACCGGAGTCCCTAGTATTCTCAGGAGAAGCAGCAGTAAGCAGCAGTTGCAGTGCTGGCAGCAGGACGTTTAGGAGCTTGTCGAGTGGCCTGTGCGAGTACATATGTAATATATAGATTGTTATGGTATATAACATATATTATATATCATATATTATATATTACATATTATATCTTATATGTATTATATGATATCTAATATTTGATGTTAACGAATGTCAACGTGAGTTCCAAAAAATCCGGAACGGAGAGGCTTGGCTCATGAGTCTGGTGCGGCTTGGACTCTCGATACTGCCTTCAAAGCAAGGTGGGCTGCGGTGAGTAGACGGGAAGTGTCGGCCCTGCTTTGGTGGAGGTTTATCCTAAACCCTATAAACCCTAAGCCCTAAACCCCTTTAGAGCTCCGCTGCTTGCAGAACGGGAGTTTGGGTTCGGGGCCTCGGGGGGGGGACGGTGAAGACTCTGGGCTTCGGTCCGGGTGCGACGCGCAGCCAAGTAGTTAAACAGGTTTTGCCTACGTGGCTGCGGCCCATCTGTCCCCAGCTAGCTTCGAAGCCATGACAAAACTTACGAAGGGTCGATATCAGTGATATGCACCAGCGTACTCCTGCAACTAACCTGTCAAATTGCTGCAAAATCGGGCAGATCTGGCAAAACCTACCGGTTTCGAGGCCCGTAGAAAAAAAACACAGTCTTGCACTGCGTTGAGGAAGTCTTTCTTTTGCTCAAGGCCCGGTCATTTGAGAGCGGGCACCTTCTGGGACTCTTGCAGGTATTCATGACGGGCCGTTTGCCTTGGTCTGGCCGCAAGCCGCCTACCTCCACTTCGGGGCCTCGTGGCTCAGAAGGGGAGTTCAAGAGTTCGGGTCAGGGCGGACGACTACCTATTCTGCTGTGTCGAAACATGGAGCCAGCGCAGCTGGGCTGACTGTGCCAGCTTTGGGACTTGCAGAACAGAAGGCAGAGTCAAACCTGCTACCAGGCCGACCAGGCCAAATCCCAATTCTGAAGCTCGGACTAGAAAAGAAGCTAACCCGGCATCTCAAAGACCTACACATCCCTTGTGATTCCTGCAAGGTGAAGCGCGTCTGGAGTTTGGGTGAGTACACGCAGCCGGAGTCTCAGTCACATGCAGGCCACAATGCTGTTAATATGTGTTCTGCTTGTAGTGGCCCTTGCAGGCAAGCGCAGGAGCAAGAGTAGATGGCACGAGTAATGCAACGATCAGAGGAGTAGCCAAGGTATGGATGCAATGAGCTTAGACATCACAAGCTGCTAACCATGAGAACCACCTTGCTGACAGGCTGATAGTTGCGAAATACTAGTCGTTGCCACAATCTTCATCATGACCACTGTTTCTGAAATCCTACTCCCGACCCTTCAAAGCAACAAGCCGCAAAGCACAATGCAAAAGTCGTTGCCGCTTCTGTAACTTTGAAAGGCATGCACTCCAAAGACCCGAAGTCTAAAGAGCCGCTCAGAGCAAATGCCGAAGGTGGGCCGATCTTTGCGCGGCACTTTGCACCCTCGGCATCAAGGCTGGTGTTTTTTAGCCGCTTAGGGCTCTTAGGGTTCAATGTTTCGAGCTTTTTCCTGCTACAGGGATCCATCACCATAACCATGGGTTGAGGCAGCCCTCCCCCCGACTGAGGGTCCTTGCTCGTCCCCAACCATTCAAAGAGTTTCTCAGCAGTTCGCAGACAAAGCCTGATTGCTGACGTGTCTCGGAACAGGCTTGGATTTGCACTGAACCCCTCTCCCTTCAAGCAAAGGACCAAGGAGCCCCAAATTGCCCCTGATAGACCCTGTTTGCCCAGTGCGGACACAGCCCGTTAGCTGGTTTCTGGTGTGCTTTATTTGCGTACCCGTATGGCGTCGGCATTCGGGTAACTTTGTGAATACCAGTGCTGAGCATTCGGTTGGGAGGTTCACCGACAACTCTGGATCCGTCTCAGTGGCAACATGCGTAGTTTACCAAGCTGCATGCTGGGTTTCACTGAGTGCTTCCCATGAGTCTTCGACGGGGCCGTCGGCACACCGCACAAGGAGGGTCGCTTAGAGGCACCAGGGAGCCGGGAGGTGCGTCACCTCAATGCTTCTGCCTCTGGCATACCCACCGGCTCTTAGTCGTCGTGGTTTGGAACGCAACAGCAGACGGTCCGGGGTTCTTCAGAACGCAGCAGAGCACCCTTGCTGGCAGGTGGACCTCTGGCCCTATGGACGGCATCACATTCCTATGCCAGGCCGTGTCCAGAAGGGGATTTTCGCCCAGTAGGTTGCACCGGGGCAGAGAGTCAGGGTGCTGGTCGTTGCTTCAGACAGACTCAAGGAGCCATGCATGCCATGATTGCCTGAAGAGTAGCATCAGAACAAGAGAGTCATGTGTGAAGCTGTACGGCGCGTAACTCCAGCACGTTCCCTGCAGATACCTACCGCAAGACCGATCTCATCTTCACCGACTACGACGGGGCCGCATTCCCAGAAGTATCCCGAAGTAGGCGCTGAGCCGTTGCTCTTGGCTTCTCAGATGCGAGGTCCATGGAGGCAAGTCGATGGATGCAATGCCTCCTTCTGACAAGACCTGGCTCTTGGACCGAACAGGGGGAGCACGGCGCAGTCTTGGTATCCATGCAGTCTTCCATACTCACAAAACAAACATACAGTCATCATAAACTACATAGCAGACATAGCATGAGAGACACTGACTGCAGCTTGTAGGCCATTGAGTTGTTTCGCAAAGTCGGGGAAGGCCCGGCAGAACCTGCCAGGACACCTTCGGGACCGACGGCACGGTGCTGGATCACCAGTTCTGGGGACGCATCCGGCCCCTGACGGACTGTCTAAAAGTGCCTTTTTTTGTGTTTCTGGATTTGGGTCTTTGCTAATTCATGATTCGGCGCTGAAGCTTGGCGCTGTGGGGCCATCCCAACACCTGAAACTGCAACAGCCCTGTGTGTCGCGACTCTGGCTGGAAGGACTACCCGCTTCATCGCTTCCTGACCTTGATACCAGGCGGGAGTCCGGGAGGGAAGGAGGGAGGGAGGGAGGGAGGGCAGCTGAGAGGGAGCAATAGGCGAGTCGGAGATCAAAGGGGTGAACCGCAAGGTGGGCTTCTATTTTGAAGGAATAGCCGTCATGAGTTCAGAGCAGGCTGGCACAGGTGCTCGGCCCGTCACTCTCACAAGGATACGCTGAGCTCTATCAGCCTTAGATCCGCGTGGGGAACGGATCGGGTTCTTTCCTGAGACAGGCTTCAGCCCTCGAAATACCTTTCTGGGCGCGGCCACGGTCGCCAGCCGCACAGAGGACGATTGGACAGAGTTTCCAAGGGCGTGTTCCACTGCAGCACATGTAAATGCCGAACCATGAAACGGCTGCGTTGTCGGATGTCTTGCCACGCGATTTGTGCAAATGCTGATGTTTCATCACATTGAGTCATTGAGCCTTGGCCGAACAGCACTTTCTTGGAGGACTCAGATGCCGCAAAGGAGCTTCCCCATCGCAACTGGCAATGTGTGCTGTGGAGCAAGGCCCTCCCAAAGGGAGCACTCTAGGCGTTAGGCCACTCCGAACGTGATGCGCGAAGCAGTTGGTCGTGTTTGAGAGTCCAACAGTGGCACTAGCACTTGTTGGAGAGATGATCGGAAGACCACGTGGCAGAAACCACAACACCCAGTCGCAGCTTCGGGAAAGCTCATTCTTACAACTTGACACGTCGGGCTGTCACTGTCCATGGCAGGTACACCCCTGGCTGAATGCGTCTTTGGGGTGGCCTACTTACCACCTGTCCCTGCTGCGCGAGTACTCGAAGTACTGCAAGGTGATTGCTACGATAGACAAGCAGGACCGACATGCTTCTTCGCGGTACTTCACGATGATGCTGGCAATACCGATACCCAGCCTGGCTCCTATTCGAGTGCAGCAAGCATGACGAGCCATAGTCTACGCTGACTCTGGTTCCTAACAGGTCCTATAATCCTATAACAGCAGGTGTCAGCAGAGAGGATTGATGGCTTTGTAGGGACAAATGTCCCCGCGCTCTTCCCGCAGGAGTTTGATAGAAATTCTGTAGAGTGGCGTAAGAGATTAATAGGGTACTCTGTCGCAAACTCCGCAACTGTGATATTTCAGCAGTCGATACTTTGCAATGAAGCTTCTGCAACGAACGATGCAGCCGGCGTTTGCGCCTTTCAGCCCTGAACCTACAAGCCTTAGTTTAAGGATTACTGAAGCCTTAGGGGTTCCGTTAGAGTCACGTTGGCAAGAACCTGCCACCATCCATGGATAACGAATGCTTGAAACTTTGAAGACCTGTTCGGATTTGGAATAGGTTTCCGGAAGTGTGGGGCGGATTGCTTCTTATGAGTTGCAATCAGCATCGCGGAATTGGACGAAGAAGATGAAGACAAGCAAGCTACGATAATAAGGTGAGGCACGAAAGTCCTTCCGGAGGTCAAGCAACGAATTTCAAAAACCACACTGGCCCCACCCACCCGATTTCCTGAACTCTTGTGTGGATCCTAAGCCCAGAAAACCGTAAAAGTTGAACCAAAGAATCCCTACATCCCAGCCCAAGTGGAGAAGAAGTGGCGCTTGCAATAGTTAGAAGGATACCTTCGGGACCGAGAAGATCTTGAAGTCTTGCTGCCCCGAAATCGATATTCGCAACGTTCAGCCCGGAGCCCTGTTGAGGGTTTAGGGTTTAGGACTCGATGGTTTGATTCGGGTTTGGGGTTTGGCCTACAAATGTTAAAGTTAAGGATCTTTGGGACTGCCGAGGGTGTCGGCGTGTAGGATGTTCAGAGCTGCGGAGCGTGTAGGTGTCTGATATCTTTCGGGCTGCGGAGGGTTCCAGAGTTTGTAATGCTGGCTGCTTGAGGAAGGAGGGGAATCTTAGGCGGATTTCAGAATGATGCAAAGCTTGGATGCTGCAGAGTTCAAGGTCTCCACCTCAATGAAGGAGTCACGACAAGAAGCATGGCATTGCAATTGAAACGAACTCAGCTGTGAGAAGGCGTCATTAGAAAAACCTCTCGGCGAAGGATCCCCAATAGAAAGCGTTCACACCCTCCTGTCCTCCACAAAAGCATAGCTAGACAGATGGATGGATGGATGGATGGATACATAGATCGATCGATAAACACCGCAAGCCCAGACACCTGAACCCCAACTTACCCCGAAGCCTCACAGGAGCAGCGGCACCTCAAAGTCTCAAAGCATCGAGCACCAAACGTGGTTGTAGTAGCAAGAGTCAAGTCGATAAATGGTCATCGCAATCATGGCAAACATGGAAAGCACAGCGCACAAAGCATTCCGACTGGTTCTTGAACAAGGCGCCGGCGCCAAACATAACAGCATGAACAAGCATCATGGCAACTGCGATCAGAAGCATCAATGACGAATGATTTACATGTGGTTCATGAACATGGAAAGCAAACATGAATGACAACAGTAAAGCTAAGACCTCAGGTCTCCCTTTCGTGCAGGTCCCCGGCCTCCTTCAAGGATCTCTTGCAAAGCTCGGCGGTGTACCTGGGTGTAGGCCCGGATCCCGGAAGAGTACGGTTCAGGGTTTAGGGCCGCAGGGTGTGGCCTTTTGTCTTAGGTGCTCCTCATTACAAGCAAAACGCTGAACTGTCCTTCATCCTGAATAATAGAGGAGCCTTAATAGTTACAAATATGATTTTGGGGTTCCTTATTATAATTATAGTATAATATACCCCAAAGCCCTATTCTATTTATTACGGCCCCTAAAGTTCCTGTCTACTGGCAGGTGTTGGCGCAGCTGCATAAATTTCTTGGCGTGTGAGCGTGCATACTTACATGTTGCAGCATCGCTGTGAGTAGTTGTTACCAACCGATGACTACGACGATGTTAGTTACTTGCACCTATCAATTGCTTCAATTTTGATTGGTATTGCCATTACTGCGAATCGTATCCTAGTAATCGGGTTGCAAACCAACGCCGTTATACTATAGCTCATTTAAGTGGGAATTGAGTGGGTCTAGTTTCAACAATTAGGTTTCCATGCTACGAAGCACCACTTAGGGTTGAGGCACGGGTTCAGGCAGAGGCATGCTTGGCCAGCTATTGACTCACGCTTCAACAGGTTTGGAAGGTAGGATTGAGCACCAAAACAAGCCAGCAACCACACCACACCCTCCCTCCATGCGCCAAGGTAAGCTAGATCCTACACTCGCCAACCTGTTCTGTCCTGAACTTTAAACCCTGATACCTAAATCCCTACATTGCACTCCCCTTTTCCTTGTGGCAGGCGAGCCGCTGATAGCACCCTCGTGCTTCGAAGCCTTGAGTGTCGGGACCCATGCCAGCGACCCAGAAGTTGGGTCCTTGTCCAAGGCAGCGCGTTTCGTGCGTAAGGCTTGAGGCTTCGGGTTTACGGCTGTGAGCTTTGAAACCTTGGCCTTCGGACTGTTTCGGGTGCTCAGGATGCGAGCGAGGTGATGACCGTATGCATGCGCATTGTGGACATGGATGTGAAGGTGTGTGTATGTATGTATGTACGTAGGTATGTATCTATGTCCACACACATGTTCCGGATATGCCCCAGAATCCGAGCATTCCCGGTGCGGCTCACGACACCTGCCTTCACGCCCGAATCCTATCCCAAAACATATACAAACCCCACAGCCTTAGTCCCCTGAGCATTTCCGAGGTCATCCAACCTTGGCTTCCGGAGCCTCACGCAGTGTTGCCACCTCAGTGGGACTTTGGGACTCTTAAGCTGGTACATGTAGCGATGGTGGATATCAAACTTCATTGGGCTGTCATGACAAGCCATCACTGTCATGTCGGTGCATTTCTAGTTGTGCTGAGCGTTAACCACCATTGTATAACTAATTATCTTCTGTCACATCCGTGTTGCCACCGTCATCATGCGGCCGGCTTGTTACGATCGCACGCAACCGCGATGACTGCTATTGTCATTCCTATGTTCTCATCTGGCTGAACATAGCGTTCCTCGCCTGACATGCTCCAGCGATTTTTTGTGTCCGTGGTCGTCACTGTGATAGTAAACATCATCACCCCAATGACCCATTTCTGCGATGTATTTCTGCGATGTGCGAGTCAATCTATTTAAAGCCTATCGGGCCTATCAGCGCCTTGCGTTGAAAGTGCACTTTCGAGTATAGATACGCATACACTGTTCATGCCGGATTCATAAACGCCCCAAGAATGGCGGTAGTGCCATTAACATCACTGGCTTGCTGATGCTCGTCATTATCTTTCTTATCCGGCTGATCGCCCGCAGCTGTCTTACCAGCAATCAGCACGCATCCGGTAAACCAGCTGTCACCAGCAATACCACCAATGTTGTCCTCATCGTAGTCTTCTTCAGTGCGACTCTAAACCTTGAACCCTAAACCCGACACCCGTAGTCCATCGAGTGAAGGTAGGAGGATGAAGGGTGGTGGTTTAGTGGTTCTGATGGAGTGCAGTGGAGTTGTTACAGGCAAGCAAAGTGGTTGCTACACAGCCCATTTTAGCGGACCATCCTTCCTTGCGGTGGCCGCAAACCGACTTCAGCATGGTGCCTGCGTTGTCGATGTGGCTGGCCTTGGCATGTGAAATCCTGCTGGTAAGGGCCATGCCTCGAGAGGGCTCCACTGCATGCCCCTGTTTGAGGCTCTTGCGAAATTGGCTCTTTTCTCGGGTTCCTTTTGGGGGTTTGGGTTTGGGGGGTTAGAGTCTAGGGTTTATGGCAAAGTTTGGAGTTGTTGGGGTTCTGCACTTTACAATGTGAAGCAGACAGTGCTAGCGTCAGTTGCATTTGGGGATGTGCTCAAGTTCAAGGCCCACATTTACAGTTTGCAGACGGCAGGTGCTTGACGAACCCAAGCGCAGGCATCATGTGTTTTGTGTTCCGGCTGGAAACAGATACCCTTATGGACTCATGGAACTTCTTTCATGCCACGACCCAAGGAACTCCACTGATCCCGGCTATGGCTGGGGGTGTCGCGCCCATGATGTGAATGGGTCTCAGTATCCACAGTGCTTGTCTGTCCCGCCGCCGGAATGGTGTCTGGGCATGTGGTCTCTTGAGCATCTTCAGAAAAGAGTTGTTTTTTTTAAATGAGGATGTCCCCCCCCCAGCAAATCTGCCACGAAACGTCAGCTCGAGTCAGGCTTGGCAGGATTTGCAATTATATCTGTATTCAATTACGGGAACTTGCCCTGTGTTTTGCGGGGGATGGGATGGGTTGTTGGTCTTAACTGACAGATGCCTCCGATGAAGGGAGACCTTCGGAATCATGTCAAGGTGTTACGTGGACCCGAATCGCTGCGCAGTCACCAACCAGGCGAGCGAGCTTACCCCCGACCGGCACTGGAGCTACACCACCTGCGGCTATCGAGACTTGTGCCTTTAGCTGAAGGGTGCCCAGAACTCTCAGTGCAAGAACTTCGGGGTTTACCAGAGTAGAGCATGCTACCGTACCGTAGTGTACTTCAGTATAGTCTAGTACAGTATTATTATACTACTATCTTTTATTATAGTCATACATAGTACTGCTCTAGTACTATTCTGTAGTATTAAAGTATTATAGTACGATTATAGTACGGGTATAAAGCGTTTATAGTACTATTATAGTAGTGCACCATGGGAATTTGGGATTCCAACACCAGACAAGGTTCTCTCTGGCAAACATCACGGAGAGCATCCGCGGGCAGACGCTGCGCGTGCTTTTCATTGGCGACTTGGCCAATACTACTGTAGTATTAGAACTTATCATTGTACTGTTATAGTATTTTGATACGCCTATAGTACTATTATCCTACTACTGTAGTACTATATTATAGCATTACAACACTAGTGTAGTAGTACTGTACTATTATTACAGGTACTAGCATGGGTAGTATTATAGGTACTAGTATATGGGTACTATTATAAGTACTATTGAACTATAGTACCTCTAATGCACTACTTGTCGATCTGTTCCAGGAAGCCCCCTGATGTCGGTTTGGGCCTTTAGAGTTTCAGGGTTTAGGGCTTTAGGACTTTAGGGTTTAGGGCGTGTCGGGGAGTAGGCATCCTGCTAGGCTAGGCCTACGGCCTGATCGATTATACTACTCGAATGTGTTATATATTATAAGCTAGGGTTAACGGGTTAAGGGTGTAGGGACATGATATGATCCTGTATCATGACGAGGTATGCTGTACTAGGCTCTGAGTGTCTAAGTGCAGGGCTAGCCTTGCAGGCAACACTGGGGGCTGGAAGGGCAACTACTGCAGCGAGCCGGGTCGGATCTGTATCAATCAGCGTGGACGGGGGCCAACCCAGCGTGTCTTCGACACCCTCACGATCCTGGGCCGAACCTTCTTGCACTGTTTTTGTGTGTGAGAAGGTCAAAGAACCACCTCCTTAGCACTAGCACTAGCCCCCCCTCTCCGCAATTTTAGAAAATATTTTGGCCAGAACTGCCCGCATCCCCCGAATCCCCGGCCCCTTCTAAACGTACTTGAGAATTAGGGGCCCCCCTAATTTTAGATACCATTCCGCCAGATCCGAAGTTCGGAATTAGGGGGGTTTTAGAATTAGGGGAAGCGATTCATTGCGTTGAACTTGAGAAGAAACTGGGCGAAAGGAACGCTGCTGGCTTCCTCGTGGACGTGCAGCAGGAGGTAGATCAAGCTGTCCTCGAACAGATGAGGAGGGTTAGCTCTTCCAACTCCCAGTTCGACTTGCGCCTGGCCTCTTTGCACCCTGTTGTTTTTGACCTCCGTGACTATATAGGCTTATGGCTGTGTTAACGGGGTATTTGGGGTACCTTAGAGAGTGTTTGGGAGGCTAAATTGGTGGATTTCATGGTTCGCCTCGTAACACAGTTTTTGAAGTCGCTTGTGTTTCGTATTCTTTACAGCAAGAGAACTACCTTAAGCATTTCGCCAATAGCCTCAGTACCGTAGGCAGCTCTGAAGCAAGCTGCCCGAAGTCTTGCGAGAGGTGCACCTGGGCTACGGGCATGGGATTCGTTGACATTTGTGGTTGCTCCATGGTGATGCTCCCCAGACGAACAGATGCCAGCCCCTTCATCACGATGTGGACAGAGCCGACCGTGCTGGTGGGCCCAATCACGGTGCCTGTTGGGATTTGGCGCGGTCAGAGATACTTACATAGATTTCGCCTGGTCAACGAGCTGTTTATGGTAATGCCGTAATATGGCTCACAACAACAATATACTATAGTCTAACAGTGTGCGGTTCCAAATACCCTTAGCCCTAAGCTTAACACAGCACATAAAGACAGGCTGCAGTATCCTCTACACACAGGTATTTATACATGTCCAGTACTTTGTAGGGTATAACCTATAAAGTTAATTATGCAGTACATTTTTATCCTGTGCGAAAGAGAAGGCTAAGTTGTATACGGGGTGTCCAATCCAGAGGCCGAGCAGGCCAGTGATGATTTCCTGTCCTTGATCGGCCGGGCTTTCAGACCCTTTACTCCAGGACTTTGGGGCGTCTTGGCAGCGCCCTGCAATAGCCCCAAGGTTTGCCTGAGCCCGAAACCCGAAACCCTAAATGCTTTAGGGTTGAGGGTTGAACCCTAGGTACCATATTCCAACACATGGCTTTGGGCCAGTATTGGGCTCAGAAGATGAGCTTCAATTACGAGGGGATTTCGTGTAGGGAAGGGGTCCACATTTGAAGTCTTGTCGCCAGGATGTGTCTCGGAATTGTAAGAGAGATTCAATAGGATACATTGCTAAGATGTTCAAAAACAGATGGTGGAGCCCAAAGAGGGTTTAATTTGGTTTCCTTTACATACGTAGATGTTCCATTGATGAGACTCTTATCCTAGTGGTCCCCCCCTTTATTCCTATGCACGGATTACACCCTCAAACCCTAAACCCCAAGCCCTATAGCTCCGAATGCCAGCCAAGGCATGGTTCTGGCGATGGTCTTGTTCATGTCCACGCTGATCACCTGCTTTGACCTTTGGCTCATTTTATAAGCCTTTTCCGACAAGTGAGACACCCAAGAACCTTAAAACCCCCCTAAGCACTAAGCCTACAGTAGATGAGCCCGAGGAGCGGGGTGAAGGGGGCCAGTTCGAGACGTTCAAGAAGTCGGAGACCTTTGGAGAATCTCTCTGTGCTGCCTTCTCCACCCTGGTGTCTTTTGAAGTGCAATTCCAGCCGCAGACAGTAGGTGGGGGGGGCGACCTGTAGATGCTTCCTGCAGTTACATCAGGGCATAGGACTCCCTCTTCTTCAAGACCCATGGCTGAGGAGGAATCCTGAAGCTACATATTGGGGTTTAGGGCTTAGGATTTACTAAGAGGTTTTATCTAGGGTGTACTGTTAGGGTGTCGGCTTAGGGTCTAGAGTGCTCCCCTGTCCTGCGCATTTGAGAACAGCAGGTGGGCGCACAGTATCTTTGGGGCTCACCTTCTTTCTGATCTTGCTGGTCTCTGGCTATACGGCCCTTCGTAGCCCAGTAGGTAAACTTTGCATTTGTGTTGACGAAACCTTGTGCTGATTTTGCCATATATTAGATTTTACACTTTCTCGGGGCCTTAAAGAGACGGGTCATCAACTTAGTTAAGCCCTTAAGCCCACGAGGCATAGCACAAACGCTAAACCCTTAAGGCCACCACAGACAAGCCGTGAATTCTCTGAACCCTTAAGGCCTAAACCCTACACCCTAAACCCTAAACCCCAAACTAAACCCTAAACCTTAAACCCTAAACCCCAAACTAAACCCTAAACCCTAAACCCTAAACTAAACCCTTAAGGCCACCTTGGCATCCTTCCTGGTAGTTGAGAATCGACTGGCCTCGCCCATCTCCAGCCTCGATGATGCCATCCGGCTGAACTACAAGGCGGGCCTTTTTTTTGGGGGTTTAGGGTTTAAGGTTTAGGGTTTAGGGTTCAGGGTTTTGGGTTTAGGGCTTAAGGTCTAGGGTTTAGGGTTTAAGGTTTAGGGTTTAGGGTTTGGGAAAGAGGGTTTAGGGAGCTGGGGCCTTTCATTTTGGGGTTCAAGGTGCATGATTAAAGTAAACCCTAAGCCCCAAAGACCCCGACTCCCCAGCCATCCCCCGAAATCTGGAGTTGATTTGAACCTGCCCCAGGTCTGTGCCCACACGTCAGACAGCGGGCTGGTGATCCTGAGCCTCGGGTCGTAGCATTATTATAGCATTATTATAGTACTGTTATAGTAGTACGATAGTAATTTCTTCTGAAATGGTAGTGTTGTTATAGTACGGTTACAGTAGTATTCTATAGAGTACTACTAGAGTACAGGGTTTAGGTATAGCAGAACAGCTGGACCCTGGAGTTGGAGCTGTGCGAGAAGCCTCCTGCAAAAAAGGTATAGAACAGTCTACCTCTTGTCAATTCCTGGTGGTTTAGGTTTAGGGCTTCTTTAGATGGTTTAGAGCGTAACATGGCTCGTTGCACCATATGAGACATACTTAGGGTTGAGGACCCTTCCGGGCGGAAAGTAGTGGGCAAAAATGTGGGCCAGGAGCGGAGTAGCACAGAGCAACGTGGTCGTCCTTGCTTCCAGGGGTGACGTCTTGCCAAGCGTGGGCTCCTCCTGCGACGTGGCCGTGCTGCGGCAAGAGGATTTCGAAGCATCCCAGGCTTTCAATGTGGGGAGCACACAAAGACATGACCCTGCTATGGCATGCTATATCGAAAACACGATATACAATATGCTTCACTTCAAAGTGTAACTTCTATGCTTCACTTCCAAGTGTACTATACCATGTCCGGTGCTGTGGGCAGGCTGTCAATCGGGGAAGCTACTGCGATCTCGCAAAGATTGGAGATCCCATTTCAACCACTTCGATTGGGATGGCCGTCTCCGATAAGTGGGCACGGGCATTGCGCTATGCAATGACGACAATAGACCAAGAAGCGCTGGTGCAGGAAGCGCTGAATGCCTACAGGCCCAGAGACTTCTGCAGTGCCGTGGCTGCAGAGGAAGAAGCCACAGCTGAGCCACCGGCCCTGCAAGTTGTTGGGATGGCAGGCCCCCTCATCCTGACCACTCTCATCGCCATTCTGGCTGGCTTTCTGCATGTCTCAAAGGCTTCCATCGATAAGCACCGTGGGCGCCGGCAGCAAGGGGCTGGTGTCGCAAGAGCCGAGAACGAGGCCTTGGAGATCGACAATGAAAAGCTTTCAGGAGCTGGGAGCAGCCCGCTGGAACAGAAGCAAGGTTCTGGCTCAGCCGTATCTGTTGCCGTGCTCAGCCGATCTGTTGCCGTGCAGGTCGAAACCCCACAGAAGGATCCAAGCCTCGAGGAGCCGCGTGAAGAAACCCGAGAAATCTGAGCATGCCCCACCCCACCCCACCCCCCCACGTTTCACAAATGTGCCGGTGCCAAATTGCAGCGGACCTCTTGGTTGTACCACAGGGTGCAGAACATATCGACGAGGGGCTGAAACCAGCCCGTTGGAAGATTGCAACCGCAAACCCGTGCAAGCGAACACATGTGGCGAAACATCATTAAGATTCAGGTCCCAAAGTACAAACCGCCGAAGCCCAGAAAAGTTCAATATTGAGAATAAATCTCGAATCCCCTGTCGTAAACGATGTATAAAAGTCCGCTCCCCCTAGAACAACCTGCGCGGGCTTAGGGATTCCCTACTTTGGGTCTCTGGGCAAGGGTGGATTCTATATGATATCTAATATCCAGCCAAAGAAAGGAAATACGTTTCACTGGATGCTAGGATCCCCTTAATCATGTGTCAGAAACGGCACATGACAATACAACAGCCAACTATAACAGTAACTAGTAATGCTGATGCTTCGTGAATTAGGGTTCAGGATTAAACCCTAAACCCTAAACCCCGAAGCCCTAAACTTGTGGGTTCGGTGGTGAGGTTCCTTTGATTTGGTTTCAAACATCAAAACCTTTCTCAACGCCACCCCATCCACTATCTTTCATAAGAAGAACTCAACATGCTAAACAAATCCTCATCACTACCAGAGTGACCACAACAAGAACAAACAGCAATATACATAGTGCAACATACATAGTAATGGCACGAATTCGAGCTGGACTCCTCATTGAAACGCAGCCTCCTTTTATGCCTTAGGCATGATTTCTGAAATATGATAGGGCTTTTGGGATTTAGGGGTTTAGGGGTTTAGGGTTTGGGCGAATTTCTTTTAGCGAACCTAATTCCTGCCAATTCTAGCAGTTTTGGAGGACTCCCGCAGGATGGGTTTGGGATGCTTGGTGGATGCCTAGGAAGCTTGTAAACTTGATTGCACGATTACGCGCAACAACCACAAGCTACTCTGTAGATGGGGTCATGCACATTGTACGGATACTGAGAGTTTTACCAGCAGTCGTGGGATCTTATTACTGACTGGCCGTGCCCCAAGCCCTCAGAGCCTTACGTGCTATAGGTTCAGAGTACCCTGAAGCCTAAACCTTCTTGGCGAGACTTGTGAGCAAGTTAGCCCGCGACACGTGGAAGTTCCTATCACCTTCTGGTTCACGGTGAATCCCTTCCCCATTGATTAAATACCTCCTCTATGGTAAAAACACATTCCAGAAAATCATCTCGAAGCCATTCCCGCCCTTTCAAAACCCGTTCCGAATTAGGGGGTGGGTTTCTTCAAGCCAATCCCGAAACCCTAAACCCTTCTAGAACCAAACCGAAATCCTGAAAGTTGAACCCTAAGACCTAATTAAGCCCCACCCCACAACATGAACTATAAAGCTAGTATATTCTTTTAATTATTATAGTATTCTTATTGTTTTTATAGTCAATTACAGCATTCATATTCTTATCGTAGTATGGTTTTGTTTTTTGAGTTTGTATTGGGGATGGGGGGGGGCCCGCCCCTGTTTCAGAACAAAGGGAAGGGATTAAGGTATGCTAAACCCCACACCCTGAACCCTACTCAGCGATTGGAGCCCAATCAGCCTCCAATGCCCATCGATCGAGCGCTTGTACACTGGAATATACCGTAGTGGAAACTCGCAGTCCAAATCACCGAGTTATTTTTAGAATATCAACTTCTGAAATAGAGTCTCCTCGAATCTATGGTATAAGATAGAAGCCGCTGCCGAGAACAGGCCCCCTTGTTTGAGACGGTCTTGGTTGGGGTTCTCGTCCACGTTTGTCGTATTCAGCGTCGCCCACAGGAGGTCCATCATTGTATGCCATTACAATAGCAATGCGTCAGTATAGCATGGAATCGTTCATAATAGTATAGTATGGCAGTATGGCACTGTATAGTGCAGCACAGTAACAAGTTAGTTGGTTATCCTATACCATGGTAGACACCAGAGTATACCATAGTAGACACCAGAGTGTACTATATAGTAGCATTATGCCAGCGTCGAAACAAACAGGGGACACGAAATAGCATTCCAAGAGCATGCCAAGCGCTCCAGACACGAGGAGCGCGACAACGCCCACAAGCAGCAGGAGACCACGAAACGACCACCACGCCGGGAAATCACCAGGACACCACCGGGAGTTAATCAGGCAGGAGATCTCAGGAGACGTCCAGGAAGGTGATTCAACATGCAAGCACGCCTTGAGGTTTAGTCAAACTTCCAGCTTTCTTGTCTTTATAAGTATACTCCATTGCTTGTTGCATCGCTCACAGGATTGGCAATACTTTATCGGCATGTCTTCCATGACCTCTATTGCCAATCATGCTATCATTGCAGTGTACATGGACTTAGTAAACACAGCTAAGATCCTGACACCAGTCAGGCAAAACAAGCCCATCACTCAGAAGTGGACCTCTCAGCATCCATTCTTGGAGCAGGCACGCAGCATTGGAGCACAGGGGCTGCAGCTTGAGACAGCAATAAGGGCCAGAGAGGCATCCGACAAGTTTGCCAAATAATGCCAACAACAGCCATCAGCGTCACTGTCACTGGGGCTGCAGTGTTCGGGAATCTCCTGTGGCTGGAGAAGATTTGGGATGCTAACTGCTCGTGACACAAGATCGACTCTGACTTTCGCTCAGAAGATGAGAGCCAAGCTTAATAGAAAGCACCGCAACTTTGGGCTCTGCATCGTTGCTGGGTGTTCGCTAGAAAGCAAGCCTTTTCAGATTCAGAGGCTCCTGAAAGGTGCAGCTGTGCAGCTGTTCCTGCAGAATTCGTCCAGTAGTCAGTCTTTTAGGTTAAGCTTCCTAGACCCTGCACCCTCAACCCGAAACAACAAGCTCAAGCCCCCAAATCCTAAACCCCGGAGGTACCGGAGCCCTTCGCATACACCGTGGATCCTCTCGACTTCAAGGCGGCTCATCGAAGTGGTCTGCTCAAATGGGAGTTTCTCAAAGTAAGGGGTACCTTATTTTGGGGGTCATTATAGTAAGGATCCTACTGTTTAGGGTGCTATGTTAGGGTCCCCTATTTTCGGAAACCCCATGCCTGGACCCAGGCAGCTTTACACACATCACGACACGATACAGGCGCCTGCATCAGTAGAACTGGGGCATGCGGAGCCCTCAGTTGTCAAATACATCTGCATGTACATATTTGTTCTATCTGTCAGCCCAGCCGTACTCCGCACATGCAGATACAAGTACTCACAAAATTACATGCATGCATGCATTCAGACCTTTTGCATGCATACATATGCAGATGTGTCTACATGGGAGAGCCCGTGCAAAAGGCTTTAGCCGAGACATTCCGGAAGATTCGCGCGGCCTACGACTCTGTCTACGGCCAGGCATGCCTTGGATGGCCGGCTTACATGGCCATGTTCTACATCAGACTTCATGGTTTTAGGAAACCTTCGGGGCAGGTTGTGCCAGACCTAGAGATGTAAAAGCTTGCTGCGTTTTTTTGGGGAATTCTCCGAACAGAGTTTATTGGTACGTTTGTGTACTTCTTGCAGCCGTTACAGCCCCAAAAGGGACCCCGTCCTCGTATGAGTCGCTTGTAAATGGGGTTGCCTACTCTTGGTGGAAACATCAGCAAGATTGTACGTGACGAATTCAACAGCTGTACTGGGTGCTATCCATTGCTATCTTTGCTTGCGAGTTTCCGGAGAGTTCAAAACATGAGGATGAGGAGCGCGCTGGAAAAGCTAACTCTACGGTGCGATACCATGAAAACCCAGCGACATTGGGAGGCAGACACCTCGAACACGACGCTTCGGAAGTTCTACACCGTGGGCGAGTATCCGGGAAGGCACCTGTCGTTGCTTTCGTGTTGGAAAAGTAGGTTTCCTGTGAAGCCTTCTTTCCGACTGCGCTGTTCCAGCAACGCTTCGTGGACACATAAGCCAATACAAGGCGAGGCACGTCGTAGGTGCTGCGATTCAGGTTCTATCAACACAGTTAGGCACTGAAGCAGAGAACAGTGCTGTGAAAAGCTTGCTCTTCATGAGTCGCTCCTTTGTTTTAAGAACATGTGTGTGCTGGATGCTCCAGTTCTGATGGAAACCCACAATCCTTCCGACCCCCAGCCGTGCCCAGCCCAAACTCCAAAAGAAGAAGCAAAACAGAAGACGAGCTGGAAGTACATGTGACCCCGGACAAGAACAACAACAACAACGACAACGACAACGACAACGACAACGACAACAACAACAAGGTCACGCCACCGTAACGGATCCCAGGTTGTTTGGGGGTTTGGACCTCGAAAACGCCGCTCCCACCGACAAAGTTGGACTTGGCGGGGGTGGGTGGGGGGGGGG